CCTCCTTTCTTCCTCCTTTCCTTTCCTTTCTTTCTCTTTCTTTTTTTCTATAGTGGTCTCCCTCCCTCTCTCTCTCTCTCTCTCTCTCTCTCCTTTTTTCTTTCTTTTATTCAAGAAATAGTTGTTGAGTGCCTATCGCATGCCATATACTGCACTAGATGCTCAGGAGATGCAAATGGGAATAACAAGGTCACATCTCAGGGGCTTTCCGACCCAAGTACGTAAATAGAAAATGAGAAAAGATCTTCCGTTGGTAGCAAGAATCATCCCACAGAACAGAAGGAAAGCAGGTCAGTGGTGGAGGTGAGACTATAAAGTAGAGATGTACGAAAGGAGTTCTCACCATGGAAATTTGCAACGGCCCTTCTGCAGAAAACACCCCCTAACCTCCCAGGCAGCAGAAGTGTCCTACCCATCAGAGATGCAGTGTGAGTCCATTCCTGTGCTCACAGGAAACTCCATACCAGGCTCTGAAATCTTGATCGTTCATCTAGGGCACTGCTAAACCACGGGGGCTTCAGGGAAGAGCAGCAGCAGATAAGAGTGGATTCCAGTGATGGATGACTTTGAGAAGTAGCTGGAGGAGTTTGGACTTTATGCAGTAGATCATAGAGAATCGTTACTGTACATTCTTTTGTTTTGAAATTAAAAGTCACAGCTCTTTAGTTTTACTGCAAAAGCAATACCTGTCTAGTATAGAAATATTAGAATATTTAGGTGAGCAAGGAGAAAAGAAATGATCCCAAAACGCTACTTCTCAAATTCTGACACGTAATGGAATGCCCGTCTTTCTTTGTGATGTGTATAGCACTGTTTGCCACTTGCTTAATACCCTTAGCAGTGACGCATGGATGCTTTCTCATGCCTGTCAGTGGGACAAAAGTCCCCTCTCCTTTGCCTTCCTTCCATGTAGTCGCATCGTGGACAAGATGCACGACAGTGGCAGTGGAATCCGGCCAAGCCCTAACATGGAGCAAGGAAGCACCTACAAAAAGACCTTCATAGGTGAGCTTCCCCTCCTGGGGGTGGGGCCAGGCTGTGGAAGCCTGGGGCATGGTGATCTGGGACTCAGCCATACTTGACCAGCTTGTGTTGAGGCCAGAGCTGCCTGCAACAGGATGCCTGAGATGGCCACATGTGGGTGCAGGCACAGCTCCGAGCAGCTGGTGTGGCCTTCAGTCTGTTCTTGGGCAGAGTTCCCAAGGCTGCCCAGGAGATCAAGCTCAATGAGGTCATACCCAGGGACCGCCAAGGAGGCTGGTCTATAGTCTGTCATCTAACTGATATTGCTCTTGCCCTGATGCAGGTTCCTCCCTGGTGGACTGGCTCATCTCGAACAACTTTGCAGTCAACCGTCTGGAGGCTGTGACTCTGGCCTCCATGCTCATGGAGGAGAACTTCCTTAGGCCAGTCGGTGCCCGAAGCATGGGAGCCATTCGCTCTGGGGATCTGGCCGAGCAGTTCCTGGATGACTCCACGGCCCTGTACACTTTTGTAAGTTATGGAGCGTGTTCCTCCTGCCATCAGGGCAGAGGGAAGGAAGACAGGGGGTCCACAGTCATGGGCGAGAGGCCTAGGGTTCTGGGGACAGCTTTACTCCAGCTGGTGTAGGTTTCCGTATTGAGGATTTTCCATTCCCCGGGGGTAGCTCCCATCGCCTGGAACTGGGACTTTTTGTAACAGAGTCCTGCTCTCTCCTTCCCACTTGTAGGCTGAGAGCTACAAGAAGAAGACAAGTCCCAAGGAAGAAATAAGTCTCAGCACCATGGAGTTAAGTGGCACAGTGATAAAACAAGGATACCTGGCCAAGCAGGTATGGCTTCCTTGGAGCAGGGAGGAGATGGCCAGTTCTCAAACTCAGGGGAGGCAGGAATGATCCCAAAAGGGTGGGAAGGGCTGAGATTGCTGGAGGGCACCAGTTATCAGCAGAATCAACTAAAGCAGGAGCCCAGAGGCAGCCACAGGGAGCCAGTTAGGGGCAGGCATGTGCGCCCACCCCCCACACACAGAGTCCCAGACACACGGATGTCTGGGAAAAGGTACAAATAATCATCTCAACATTAAAACACTGTCTATGTCACTGCCCAATTCACATCTGTCTACAAGGGCATTGCCTACTGGGTTGGAGTTTTGCATTTGTTGGGCTTCTTTTCCCTGAGGCTTCCTGAGGTCTCTGCCTTCTCTTGTGGGACTCTGCATGCCCCCTTGATATGCTTTCCGAACAAAAAATAAGTATTTTTCTCCACCTACTTCAGTAGGTTGAAGATGAAATTCTGCAGTGTAATCTCAGTGTTTAAAAACTGACCGTGGCCACCACTCCTAACCATATTTGGGAGAGCAGCCACGTTAAAGGGGAGAAAACCATGTCACAGTCACGCCTGCAGCATTTCTGCCTGGGTGTGACAAAAAGGCTATTCTGTGAACAAAATCACCACGTCCCGCACATGAAGTGTAAGCATACTTTCTGCACACCCCTTGCATTTGTGCGCATCCAGTGCACTGTGGGAATGTGCATATCTGTAAAATGGCCCCAAAGGCTGCTCAGCACCACTCCCATATTGGGATCACCATCGGCTCCTAGGTTATTCACCGTCCAAGAAACCGCCTGATGGGAGTCAAGTGAGGAGGGAAGGTGGTGAGGGCCCTGGAAGACCACGAGGAGTGCGTGGGAGGCGATTAGGGGTTCCACACTAGCGGGCTAAGGAAGGTTTGTGATCGAGGGGGTGATGCTAAAGAGAGTCATACACTCATCAGTATCTTACACATTTAGGTTTTAACATATGATTGATCATTTCTTACTCTTTCTGATCCAATTGTTAAAGTGGTTTTTACTGTATATGTGTGCACATGTATACATGCAAATGTCAGTTTGTTTTTGGACTAAGTTGACACTTAAAAAGTTGGTGCCCTTGGGTTCAAGTTTGCCTGTGAGCTCTCAGTCCAGTGGGCACCTGCTGCCTCCTTGTCCTCCTTGTGCCCTGAGTGGTGTCCAGGTAATGCTCCTCCTTTCCTTCAGCGCTGACCCTCTTTGGCTCTGTCAACTCCACTAAATGTGACAGTGTTTTTGCTCAAGTGTCACTGACTGAGCAGAGAAGTAAGTCCATGACACATCACCTCAATCCTTGGGTCCCCAGCGGGCTCTTAGAAAGTAGTCTCATTGGAACAGGCTAGCTCGAAGGTTTGGTATTCGATGCAAGGAAGTGGGAAGAAGAGAATAAGAGCTGTCATCAATGATCTTTGAACCCTTTCTTTGCCTCAGGGCCACAAGAGGAAAAACTGGAAGGTACGGCGCTTTGTTCTGAGGAAGGACCCAGCTTTCCTGCATTACTACGACCCTTCCAAAGTGAGTGCCCCAGGCTCACTCGGTAACCGTGTGTGAGGCTTCCAGACACTTCTCTCCCAAGCATAGCAGGCAGCTGGCTCCAATTCCTTTCTCTCAGCATTCCTATTGTAACTTCCACCACGTTATGTCTTCCCTTCCACAATCCAGGCTACTCTTAACTGTATGATCACCCCTTTCTTTCATTACATCGTTGCCTACTCAGTGGGTCTTCATTATTTTGAGAGGAAAAACATCTTTTAGTTTCTCCAGAGCTTGCCGTGTGGCTAAGAAGGGTGAGATGGGCTGATAATTAGGCTCCTAACTGATGCTACCCAGGCCCTTCTCTCCTTTCTATCCACAGATCCCATGGATTCTGCCTCCTCAGCCTCTTGTCCCCACCCATGTTTTGACAAGTTTCTTTTACTATATAACATTTAAGCCATAATTTATTAATTTTCTTTTTTTCTAATTGATCAAAGAATTTCTATTCTGAGTTTCAGATAAGTATTACTAGATGCTGAGTCGATCTAATTCCAGTCAAAAGAAAAGAGAAATGGCCTTTTAGTCAGCTGTTCAGCCTTGTCTTGGTAGATGTATGATTGTTACCCATTTTTTGAGAGTGAAGACCGGCAGTTCCTCCCTCACCAAGGTTCAGTCAGGAACCCTCGCCCTAAGCTGAGACTGTGAAGGAGCCTGGGGGAACCACCCCCCTGGGACCCTGCCAGACTGAAGGGAGGGCCTGGGAGCCAGGGAGGGGTGTGGCACTGCTGCCGCTGGCTGCGAAATGAAGAAGCCCTAACTTCCTTACTGGAGCATGTAACTTGGCCACGTGATGTCCAAGTTCAGCCTCATCTTCTATTACAAATGACTCTCACTGACTTTTTTGGCTGGCATGACTGAGGGTGATGACATAGGCAAGAGCGCAACTCTTCCCTTTTGTGCATTCGCACAGTTCCTAAACAGGTGTCTTTTCCTCTGCAGGAAGAAAACCGGCCAGTAGGTGGGTTTTCTCTTCGTGGTTCACTCGTGTCTGCTCTGGAGGATAATGGTGTTCCCACGGGTAAGGTGCAACTTCGGCCCCAGCCCGAAGAACTCAGGAGCCTCCCTCCCGCTCTCTCAATAGTGCTCTCCCGACAAAGGACTGAGCTCTGGGAGCTGGGTAGAGCTTTCTCAATGAGACAATGAATGGAGTGAGTTTTGAAGCCAATTCAGAATTAGAGAAAAAAGCTTGTGGGGTGCTCTTAGTGTAACAACACAATTAACTAATCCTTGTCTTTAATATTCTTTCCCCTCAATTTCTATACTTACTGGCCCACAAGCTTCCACCTAAGAATAATCGCTTACACAGTGCTTAAGGGTTAGCGACACACTTGAATATCTATTATCACACTAATTTCAAAATAGCCAGCTAGGATAGAAAGACAGTATTATACCCAATTTATGGATGTGGAAATTGAGGTTCAAGGAAATTAAACGATTTAAAATCAAATCCCAAGTCTTAGCCTGCTTTTTACATAAACATCCTGGATTATTTGATGTGAATGAAATTGTAGATCTATGGTTAGCATAGTGGGCAGGCCAAGAGGGCTTCCAAGAATGTCCCGCCATATCATTTGCAGGCCTTAAGGCACAGGTGAGGGAGAGGGAATAAAGGGAGGAAAAGAGGAAAGCATGCATCTAGTGGGATTCCTGACCATCTACACTTGTATTTAAGAAATACTTCATTATTTGTTTTTGTCTGTGTCTCAGTTGACTTTCAGCCAGTTTCAATTGGAAGCAGACATGGATATTCATTCACTTTTTTTTTCTCCCTAGGGGTAAAAGGGAATGTCCAGGGAAATCTCTTCAAAGTGATTACTAAGGATGACATACACTATTATATCCAGGCCAGCAGCAAGGCTGAGCGAGCGGAGTGGATTGAAGCCATCAAAAAGCTAACGTGACAAGGATCCTAAGGGCACAGGACCAGGATTCTTCCCTCTTACCAGATGACACAGACAGGATTTCCTGAAAAATGAGTGTTAAAACTTTTGTATATTTTGTACTGCTTTCGAGTGTGGCTGGTGAAAAAGTTCCTTAGATTATATTCGGCAGTGGTGCTATTTCCTTCCCCCACCTTCATGTTAACTACCTGGAAATCCTAGAACAGCCATTAGGAGTCAGCATCTCGACTTTCGCCCATCTTCACAGCCAGCCATTCATGCCTCAGGCACCAAAATAGGTTTCCCTTGTTCTAACACTAACTAGCTATATTGTAATACTAAGATGCTAGTCTCTTGGCAGCTCTCTCTGAAATGCTGTCAGCGACTCTAATGTTAACTCAGGAATTAATAAAAATTGACATGTTTCTATTAGAATTCCCATACAAAGCTTTATAATTTTCAAAGGTTTCTCATGCTTGAGGCTATAAGAATTATACAAGCTGATTATGAAGACATCTCAAGTAATCTCTTTTACTAAGATGTGCTTCATCTTAAAGTGGGGATGGTGGCAAAATTTTGGTCGGAGAATATCGTTTTGCTTTGAAAAATAAGCTTGTATAAGTATTATACATCACAGAAAAAAAAGACTCAGTTGAAGATTAGTCACATGTACCAAAAAAAAAAAAAGCTTTACTATGGAAAATAGCATTTAGAAAAAGACAGAGAAAGATGTAAATGGCAAGAGTCAAATCAAGGTATGAAATTTTGGTTTGAAAGTGAACATTAACTGAGACAAATAGGTACCAAGAAGTTTAACCAGTTAATCTGAAGTAGTGAAAAGTCTGTATCATACAGTATCTTTAAAAATATTTTTATTTCAAGTTTACACAGTAATCTGGCACAGGTTACTGCCAGCATTCTTGCTAAGTACAAGTGCTTAGACTTCCTTTAATGAATAGATACGGAACTTACATTTAAGGGGAATAGGTTAATACCTTAAGTAAAAATTTGTCCTTAGTTTGAACTGTCCCCTTAACCTCATCTAGGGTACTTGACCTGAATGATCAGGAATTCCAAGATAATGAGGCTTTACTTCATTCCTTACATTGTAAGAGATTGCCTTTAAAATAATCATTTTCCATTTGGCATTTTACCAAGGTCTAATGTCCCTGGAATTAGTTTCTTTATTGCTTTTTGAATCTCAACAGGTGTTTATCTGAATTCAACTACATTTGGTTTGATGGCTTCTTGACTCCAAATTGGCACAACTGCACCCCACTCTGTATATCGGAATCCTCATGCACTGAAAAGTAGATGATCACCTTGAGGCAAATCAGGGAACAACCCTTGCCAAGGTACTAGCATTTGAATTTTTAAAAAGCCCAAACCATTTTAATTCAATTGTTCTCAATGTGAAAGTAGCTAAATCAAGAATGTTTGGAAGTATGGCAGCTAAGTATAACTGTACTGCTTCGCACTACCATAATGCTTAGCGTGTCTTTGTAGGTTCCTGCTAAGTGTTTGAGCATTACCCATGTTAAGTATTGGTTTGTCTTGCTAGAAAACATCAAAAATGGTTTGAATGTTCATGTGTTTTGTCGGCCATTTTCAATCACTTCAATTAATTATGCGTAAGGCCCAAGCTATTGCTAATGTTCAGTTACCGTTGATAACTACTTAACCTCAAATGCAGAATGGGGAGTTGATGAAACTGTCAATTTTTAATGAAGAGGCTTTGGGGGAAGAGAGGCAAGATTTGGATAAACTGGTCAATTCTTTGTCAACCTATTCCTCAAGTTATTGGGAGCTGGGTGTGTAACTTATTCTCATATTTGAAAGTGATACTTTTAGGTCAGTAGGGCATACATAGGCTTTAAGTTCAGTTAGCTCTCCCCTTCATGGTATCACTGAGGTGTTGCTCTTTTCTCTGGCAAGGGTCATGAATTTGCAGAATGATGGAACTGAGCGAAAGGCCTGCATGGGATAAAATCACTCACCATGAAGGCCACCACTATTTCTCAAGTTATGGCTTTTGATGTATAAAAATATTCAGTTAAACAAAAAATTTACTTCCCCAGCCTAAAACATTTAAGGAGCACCAGTTATATATTTAGATGACATCTTGATGCTGTGAGTTTTATAGACTTTTTTTTTGACTCCTCAAAAAGACCAAGGTGAAAAATTATCTGCAAATTTTGAGTATATTATTTTCCTCTAAACATTCCCTGTGTGGCATGCTTGCTAGTGATCATGGCGCCCTTGTGGAAATGGCCATGAGGTCAGATTTTAGATTTAAAGAGCAAGTAAAGGCTGCTAAATTAAACAAAGGGACAACCTTCACATATGACACAAATTATCTCACCAACACACTCTTCTACTTTCCAGTCCCTTTAATATTGACTAAAGGTTTAATCTTCTATTTAAATAGCTATTCTTAGGAATAATTAATAAAATTATATCTAGTTCCTCAAGTAGCCTAAAAGATTAAATCTATGAAGACCAAAGACTTTCTACACCCTGGCTAACTGCAGCTGTAACTTCAAACCATGTGTTATCTATGAATTTTACTTACCTTTATAATATTTATTTACCTTTAAATTTATACACCTTTAAAATAACTAGTTCTTAAAGATAAAAAGGAGGGAAATGTAGAACAATTATTGTTGTGTTCAAACAGATCCCCAGTCTGTTCTAAAGAGAACTGAAGCTCTGGGTGGCACCTAGTGAATATTTTAATGGAAAAAAATCAAAAGTTGGACAATGATACTCCAAATAACTACATTAAAGCAGCAGCATCTTTAAAAAAACTACTTTACCACCCTGAATTACCAGCTCAAGGGAAGCAGCTTAGTACACCAACCAGGTAGGACCAGTGTGATAAATTCTCCTCACGTATGTTGTCATCAGTCTCAAACAGGTAAAAGGCACACAATCAATACTTTAATTGCATTTTAAGGCTTTTTTTCCCTTAAGAGCCAACTTTCACTGGTGTTAAAATTATTTTCTCTACGCCCTCCTTTTGAAAGGATCTGCTGTATAGATAGATCCTTTAGTCATCTGCCCTTTTAATTCTACATCTAGATTAAAATGAATAGAATTAGGGTCTTAGTAATCATAATGCTTTTAACTGGTGACAAGAAGGAAGAAGCCTATAGTTAAATATCCCAGAAATTTATTTAATGTTTGCTTGATACATTTTATATAGAAAGATTGGGACTATTTGCTTTGGGTGCCCCTGGTAAATTTCATGGAGGCATTGAACTACAAAGGGATATCACTCGAGACAAAAGAAATGGAAACCACAAGCCCAATTTTATGACTGTTCTTTAGCTTGAAGATTTGTCTCTAGTGAAATTAGGCCACTCCCTTAAAAATGCTTAATGTGTTGAAGCTACTGTGTGAAAACAGCTGACATTTAGGAGGGCATTTCATGTTTTGGTCTGTTGGAATATTTAAATACTTGAAAATAAAAAATATTCAGCTTTGAAGTTTTCAGTACTGGAAAACTTTTAAGTCTAGGGTTTATAGCCAGGAAGGGCTGCTTTGTGTTCCTTCAACTGGACTCTGTTTCCCACAAGATTAATCTTCGGCTTTGGCTTCCATTTCTTCTGCATCATCATCACCATCCACTTCTGCATTTTCTCTCTCAAGCCTCTCCAGCTGCCTTGCAAGTTCGGTCTCATCTGTATCTGTGACCACTTTGGGCTGTGGAAGTAGAGGCATAATTTCAAAGTGAAGTCATTAAATAGTACACAAAACTTAATTTCAATACTATTACTGCCTAGTACTTTAACTCTTAAAGAAATATTTTTCTAATAACTCTTATATCTATTCACTTTTGAGTGCTGACATATCACTAATAAATTCCACTAGATCAATAATAGAAGAAATTTGTGAGAATAAGACAATACAGAAGTATGTGTATTAACATCAATTACTATTTTGTCATTTTTACAAGCTGAAACTGAAAATATATGAAAATAAACTCAGTGGCATTTTTACAGGATGTAAAAATGCATCTTCTAGGTTCAAAGTAAATTACTATTCCTTTGCATAGAAGGCATTGTTATACGTGTATATGTATTTACATATTTATTTATTTTTATATATACATGTGAAAATTAGGTTTTGTTCTTGTTGGGATGAGGGAAATATAGGCAATTACTCCTGTTTCTAATCCTGAGATCAAATTTTAAGTATTTCACATTAAATTCTGACAACCATCGCTGATTTTCATTGTCTATTTTTTCCTCTGGGGGAACCTAACATCACCAGTGACCATGGTTCTCAATAACCATCCCATAATAATTCTTATTTAATTATAAAAAGCTCTTTTAGGGACCCTCTGAGTCAATAGTTATGTTATGCTTAGCAGAGTTGTAATCCTAACTGTATCCCATGTTTTAAGATTTTAGAATGTAATTCATTTAGATGTTTTTAAATTTCTTAAAAACTTTAAGAACAAGGCAAAAACAGTAGTGCTCTCACCTCCATTTGAACATTGAAGACACCCCTCTTCTCCTCAATCTTTTCTTTTATAACAGCCATAGCCTGATTGAGGACAGAGAGGCCTTCTGTTCTCTCCAGGGTTGTTGTGGTCATCACATACCGAGGAGGAGCTATTAGATTAATCTAAGGGAAAAGACAAAAATTCAATTATGAGTGTACTTACAGAACACATAACTATGAGGATGTTCAAGAATGATTTTGCTAATCTGCTGCCTTATCAAATCACCCCAAAATCTAGCTTCTAATTCTACAGTTCAGCAATTTGGGGAGTTTGTTAATGCAACAAAACCTAATTGATACAGTGATCTAATCAAGTCCACTACAATAGTGAACAGGAAGAATTACAACCTCTGGGTATCTCTGGCAGTTAAACTAACTAGAGCCATCATCAGCATAACAGATAATTTGTCTCTAAAATAAAATTTCCTCTTTGGTTCTAAACTAAACTGACAGAAGACATTCTTCTAAGAGATTACGAGTAACAATCATTCAGTTAATTTTATCGCTAATGAAAGATTCAGACCAAACTTCCTAAAGGCTGTGTGTGAATATGAGAGAATATGTTGCCCTTTTCAAGATTCTATGAGCATTATGGGTATAATAACTCTTTACGGTAAAGGAGCCCTTTGGCACTAAATATCAATTGGAATCTCCATCCACTATAACAGTAATGGTAGCTACAATAAAAAGTCTACAAAAGTAAACGTCTCCTGGAAATATCACCAAGACCCACTTTTCATAACGCTTGTTATGAAACATGATCATAAAAAAATCTGATTTGGTGTAGGTGGATATTTCAGTAGGGAGGGAGAAAACTGACTACTCACCTTGATGGGCATGGTTTCGGTAGAACAATTCAAACCGGCTCTCAGGGCTTCTTTTACGGCATCAATGCCTTCATAACCATAACAAGCCACTTCGATATCTAAAATTATAAAAATTTAAAAGCTCAAACCAAAAAATGCAAAAAAAATTTAAAGGCGTTTTTAAACTACATCAGAGATGAGGCAGATAACATGAGTATACAAACACTTATGAAACCTGTTATCCTTTCAATGAGAAACCAATCCCAGCTATTAACTTGCTTAATTAAAACTATCAGAATATGCAGTGAAATGGATCCTCTCATCCATATCAAGCTCCTGAATGATGATGCTATAAAAGACAATTAACCAACACCTTGAATTTTGGCTACACCTGGGTTAAAAATCATGACTCCAATCTCTCTGCACCTTTTTCTTTTGCAAATTGTTTAGAACAGTTTAGAAATTGCATACATACATTATGACCTAGACTTCTACTTTTAGGAATTTGCCCTACAGCAGGGGTCCCCAACCCCTAGTCAGTGACCTGGTGGCACAGCACGGGTGAGTGAGTGAGTGAAGCTTCATCTGTATTTGTAGCCGCTCCCCAATGCTAGCATCACCGCCTCAGCTTCACCTCAGATTATCAAGCATGAGTCTCATAGGAGCACAGGTCCCTGGTGCCAAAAAGGTTGGGGACTGCTGCCTTACATAATACTTATATAATTAGGTAAGTGTACATGTATAAGGGTGTTAATTTATAGTGTTTTTTTAATAATAAAAAATTAGCATACCCTAAATGTTCTTCAAGAGGGTCTGGTTTATAAAGTTTATTATTCTGTGGAATATTATCTAGCCATTAAAGAGAATGAAAAAGATTCCTATGTTCTACATGGAAGGGCAGCCATGATATACTAAATGGAAACAAGCTAGCTGAAGAAAATTTTGCATGGTATGATCCCATCTTTGTAAAGACAAAAAAAAAAAAAAAAAAAAGTTATATCTGAATGCAAACAGCATACATCCCTATACAGCATGTAAGTATACGAAAAATATCTGAAAGAATATATTCCAAACTATCAACAGTGGTTAATCAAGAAACATGGGAAAATATTACTGTACTGTTAGAATATTTTAAAGTATGCACTAAATGAAAATAACCACCCCCCCTTAAAAAAGGGGGCTAAACCTAAAGTTAGCTAAACTCATACGTATGACAGCTTTAAGATGTGTCGATATATAAATTTTATGATTTAGCAGAAACAAAAATAATTTCTTAAACTTCTCATGAAAAATACATTTAGAAAATTTACAGATGTTGATGTCATAACATATTCTTTGGTAAGGTTCATTTTTAACAGGTTTTTTGGTACATACAAAATCTTTTAACATCATTTAAAGAATCGCTTACCTGCTCGAATTTTGACAGCCTGTGGTGTCAAACGCCTATTAATATTGTTAATGAGTACTTCCCGTTCACCTTCATTCAAATCTAAACTATCCAAAATAGATGGGTCTCTGATAAAAAAAAAAACAAAAAAAAACCACACAAAAAAAACAACAAAAGATCAAGGTTATTTTACTGATAATTGCAATAGCAAACACAACATCACAGAATGTTTAAGAGCACAGGCGTTAGTGTCAGAATGACTTCAAATCTTGCCTTTGCACTTTAATAACTATGTGTCTTTAGGCCTTTCCAGACCTCAGTTTCCAATCCAGACTTCGGTTTCCAAATGTGTAAAATGAAAACGAAAACAGTATATCTCACTGGATTGTGGTACTAAATAGGATAATGCAAGTATACGACAAATAGACAACACTCAATTGATTACCATTAAGAGAAATATTTTAGAGGTCTGGCTAAAGCAAGCAATTTAAAATACACCTAATACACCTGACATCCACTATACTTAAGCATGTCCATGTTATTAACAGTCTGTATTTCAAGGAGCTTATAATCTAGCTTGAAAAGAACAAAACCATGAAAAAAAATTTATATTAAACTGCATCCTTAGGAATCAGGAGAGGAAGGTATGACTTCCAGTTAGGGTCAGGAAGGACTTCATAGACAAAGTGGCATTTTCATCTGACCCTCCTAAGTGTCACAAGACAGGGACAAGGGTCTTCTTAGTCAATGGCTCAAACCAAAAGAATGCAAAATTTCGTTTGCTGAGCAAATGAAACAAAAAGAAACAATGACTAAAAGAATGATAAAATTTTAACAAGCAAAGGTAGAACTGTTTTAAGAAAGGTATGATGTATTAAAAAAGGAATGACATGAATAAGCATCAGGCTTAAAAAGCGTGGGTTGAGGAACGAAAGGCAAAAGAATATGGGTGGAGGAAACTTTCATTCAATTAATACTGCTCTACAAAACAAAAGAACAAACCAACAGAAAATGGGCAAATGAGATAAAAATATGTTTCAATGAAGAAATATAAATAGTCAATAAACATATGAAAAGCTCTTAAGTTCACCAACAGCCAAAAGAATGCAAATCAAAACAAGATATTACTATACATCCTTCAGTTTGGCAAGAAAAAAAATCTGAGATATATACCAAATGTTAGTGAGGATAAAGAGAAATAGTAATACTCATACAATTGCTTGAGGGAATATAAATTATATAACCAATTTGGAGATTATTTTGGCAAAACTGAGTAAATTTAAAGATGCATATAATTAATACTATGACCTAACAATTCTATTCCTAGATATATACCTTAGAGGCTCCCAAACATGTATACACAGAAAACATGTATTCATCATAGCATTATCTGTAAAATTAGGGGGATGATTACCTTTTTTCTAATACAGAACAGATAAAGCATATTCTCACAATAAAATGCTATATAGAAATATAAGCATACGTCTATCAATTTAGAGAAATACTATTCAATAATATATGAGTAAAAATTCAAGGTACAGATATTTTGAATGTAAAAAATGATTTTATATGCACTTTATGAATACATATATTTATTAAAACCACAGAAACATAAATTATGATACATACTAATTTCAGAATAGTTGGTTACCACTGATGAGGAGAATGAGTTAGGAAGGGTAAAACATTATTTCCAACTATTTCAGAAATTTTATTTCTTATTTAAAAGAAAACTATAAAGCACATGCAGCAAAGAATTAGCATTACTTAAACCTGGATAGTCGCTACATGACTGATGAAGCAAGAGAAGACTGTTAAAGGAAAGGGAATAATACATGCTAAGGCTGAGTGGTGCTGAAGGGACAGCTGGAGGTGGAAGTAAGAGGGGTAAGCCAGGGCCAGATGATGACAGTAAGCCAAGTTAAATGTTCTGAGTGCAGGACTGAAGTCTGGGAGGAGAGAAATATAAAACTAGGCTTAATGATTAATAGCATAAACTCTGCATAGAGCCAGATGTCTGGGTTTGAATCCAGGCTCTACCATTTGCTATATGAACTTGGACAAATTATTTACTCTCTGCCTAACTTCCTCATCTATAAAATAGACATTAATAGCACTTATACCACAGTTTGCTGTGAGAATTATACATTAGCTATTATAATTATTACTATTCTCATCTCCCCCACAACGTGATATTTAAAAAAAACCAAAGGTGGGAGTAAACTGGAAGGGATTTAGAGAACCAAATGAGTCGGCTTGCTGCAGGCTCTAACATCTAATAGTTCCAAGCCCTGCTGGGCCATTCTGAGGGCTGAGGGAAACATTATGTCTTGGCAGCACAAGGCTTGGGAAGGTAACTTCAGTGCAGTGATGAGGCTGCTTGTGGAGCATGAACATTTAGGAAGGAGTGGGAGGTGCAGAAGTAGAGACAGTAAGTACAGAGAACTGAGGGAGTCTGGATGCTAAAAGGAGAGGACACAGTGCTTGCTACAGGACAAAGCAGAGAGGTTTAGCAGTTTATTTTTTAGTGTAAATGGGAGCAATGAGAACATATTTTTATGCTGATGGAGCGAAACTGAAAAAGGGAAAGACTAAAGACCCAAGAGAGGGAAATAACACATGGAAAGAGGTCCCTGAGCAATAGCTGGGGACAGATAGTAAGATTAGTCTGAGAGCAGACAGGATATGAATTCCAGTGTGACAGGGGCACAAGAGGTAATGACAGGGGAGATGAAGATAAGTTTGCTGAGCTAGTGAAAGGAAGTACAGGAGATCCTGCCCAATGGATTCTATTTTCTTTATAAAAATACTTAGTAAGTGCACCAGGTGAGAGTAAGGGAAGAGGGGTAGACTGGGTATCTGAGGAAGAGTGTGGAAAAGCTCTAAAATAGCCACTCTAAGAATGGGAGGAAGAACTAACCAGAAACAGAGAGAATGTGGGGCAGCAGGGAAGGCCCAGCTGAGGTTGGAGACCATGAATATGCAGGGGCACCAACCTGCGAGACTGTGGTTTTTCCTAGCAGCACCCAGCAGTCTACAAGTGCAGAGAAGGCAGGAACACCGATCCAAGGCTGAATGTAAGAGGAAAAAAACAGGGCAAAAGCTCATGATATTGGCAAGAAAAGTTGTTGAAATGATGGGCCATGGTGTATCTATGCTGAATAAGAGAGAGACTGCAGAAAACGGTGAAAAGACAGAGAAAAGAAGTTTTGGAATCGGAGCCTGAAATAAGAATTAAGATATAGAGGAGGACTAACTATGTGGTAGCTGGAAGGACAGGTGGCTATGGTAAAAACAGAATGTGTTAATTAAAGGTTTTAGAAGCAGAGCAAATCCTGGTGATAGTAGACCCAGGGTGAGGCCATATGGAAGACTGGCTAAAGTGGCACGGGCTGAGGTCTAAGGAATTATGAGGCAAAGAAAACGAGAGGTTAGAATTTTAGATAAGACATCTATACTGGCCCTGAAGTCACCCAGGACAATAAAAAACTAGAAGGAAATATGTGAAGTAGTGTGAGATGAAACAATAGCGTTTATGAAACTATAACTAATGACATGTGAAATTAAATAGGCTTGGCTATAAACGATTGGCCTATCTCATGGGCCTTTTATACAGAAATATTTTAATTTAAATTTGGCAAGGACTTAATACAGGGATGTTGTACTATTAAATGTCAGTCTCTCGACCCAGCAGCTGTGATGTGAAGGTAGAAGCAGAGCCAAAAAGGTGTTCTTACGAGACTGCATGCTTAAATGCATCATAGGCACCATATCCGGGTTTCTTGTACTTGTCATCAAAGACCCAAGCAGTCCTCTGGAACAGGCTTTCCAGTTGCTCGTCCTTAGTGTACTCTAACACCTCAGCCACATGACGAAGAATGCTGTAAACCTAGAAACAAAATGAAGAGCTCAACAATGCAAAGATAAGAGATCGACTAAAGTTAGTAGACGTTTTACACTTTAGTAGACAGAGTCTAAAAACAAATCTTTGGTTAAATTGACTACAATAATTCTTTAACAACAAAAAATCACCATCCAACAAATTCTCCATAGAGAAATATTCGCTTTCCCATAATAATTAACTCAAAAATGGGTATAACAAGTAGAAATAGTACAGAATTTAGCGTCTTAAGACCCAGATCAAGTCTCAACTGGGATAAATTAACCTCTCTGAATCTGTTTCCTCATTTGGAAAAGGGAGATATTGGTAGCTCTCATTTTTACTGCACAGAGCTCTTACATAGATCAAATATATACAAATGCACCCTAGAAATGGAAAAGACTATACAAATGCTTTATACAAATGTGTGAAATTTGTATATTATACAAATCCTGTTAAACCAACATAAGCTATAATTACTCCTCCACATGAGATTATGGAACCAGGATTGAGATTTCGGTATCTTTTGTTCTGTTATCTTTCAATCCTACCCGCTGCTGCCAAACTCTTTTTCTAATCTCTGTAGAATAAAAGGGCTTGGACGTGGTTCCACAGTCTAGCAGTTAGCATGTCTGCTTTACATGCAGCAGGTCCTGGGTTTGCACCCCAGTGTAGCCACAGTCCATAGTCTATGGCCATGCCACCCTGCATAAGCCGGATGTCTCATCTCGGAAGCTAAGCAGGGTTGGGCCTGGTTAGTACTTGGATGGGAGACCACCTAAGAAGACCAGGTGCTGTAGGCATAAATAATAAGTAAGTAAATAAATAAATAAATAAATAAATAACAAACAAGCAAATAAAAGGGCTTAAAGAAGAAAAAAAGTATAAGGAGGTTTTTATGTTACTTACACATGAAAAGTGAGTAAGGAGAGGCACTAACAGTGGCTATTTATTCTATCACCCTACCACCCTAATAAGATTACTAACATACTCATTTTACAATATCCTAGGTGACAAAAAAAAAAATGGAAGTCTCCTAGAGCACTGCTTCTCAAATTTGGATTCTCAAACTTGGTGGGACCCGAGATCATGCATTTCTAATAAAGAGTCAGATGATGCCAATGCTGTTGGTCCAGAGACTATATTCTGAGTGGCAAGGTCCTAGATTTTATTTAAAAAGGACCTTCCTGATAGTGCTTTTAAATGTGTAAACCACACTGCAGTTAATAGCAAACGTGTCAGTAAAACAAAGGGAAAGACTGGGTAATGGTCTGATGGCTTTTAGATTTTTATTCCTCTTTTACTAGAGTCAAACAAAATTTTAAAAATCTGCTCTTCATTTAAACATTGTTTTCTTGGCATTTTATCTTGAAGACAGAAACACACATGGCAGAAGAGAACAAAAGACACAAGAGAGGGGCAAAGGAACAAAAACAATGGAAACAGTGCCATTAAGCACGGAGGATCTAAGGAATGAGGATAATCTAAATAGGACCAGAGAGCAATATGGACAGAAGAGGAAGACTGCAGAAATGGCTGTTCTTGCTTTACTCATGCTTACTGTGGAGAAGTAAGACATTAGAGTAAAAATAAAAAGGAAAAAAAAATAACCTTAACTATATAGGGAAAAAAACAAAAACTGGCAACAGGCCCCTGTGTTGCTTTCCTGGATTCACAGACATTTTACAAATCCTTGCTCATTCTTAACATACAACAGCTGGTTGTCTCTGTGACCCTTACCCAGAACAGGGATGAAAGTCAAGAACTACATGTGATAACAAGCAAAACCAGCTGAAACCACCCAGTTAATGTATTCCTAAAACAGCTTAAAAACATTAATCCAGTACTGTTTTGAGAGTATTAGATCAAAAGCAATGCTTCAAAGTAGTTAACACCACGAGATAAAAATACTGTAATCATATTCTTTTGAAATTGTTTTTAAAAATTATATTTCTATATAACATATAACTGGAAATATAAAGTTATTTTTATTTTTTATTTTTCCACCAGGAACATAACAGGCTGATTATGTATTAAACACATCAAATAATGGACTTACTTGACTCAAAAGTCAACTTACAGTTTTGGATTTGGTGAATTTATCTTCACATTTGATTGCTTCTTCTGGAGATACTCTTCTTTTTGACAAATCAATATATCCTGTAAGAAAATTTTGAAAAAAATGATCTCTGTCCAGGTGCCTACTGCCAACAAATTTTCACAACCAGCTCATTTGTTTGGCATACCTGCACTTACTTCCCACTGAAATCCTACCAACGAATTAGTGCATAAGAAGTACAAGAGGAATTTTTTGTTTCAGAAATATATTTTCATTATCACGTAATTATCTATTCTCTATTATTTCATTGGAGGGAAATAACTTTCAATTATCGAAATGAAAGTCAAAAGATTCTCTATTGGTCTTTTTGGCATCCATTCATCACAGTGTCAACTGTATTAACTATATTTTCTGTATTCTTGATGCTCTGACATTTGTGGCTTGGCTGAGTGGGGAGAGACCCCCTTATCCCCCTCCAGAACTAGCTAATTCTTAAGAGTCAGCAAAGGGCTCACCTGGAGCAGCCTTCCATATGCAAACTAACCAATCCAGAACCTATATCCCCAACTCTGAGACTCATGAAAGTGTCATGCACCAAGCCAATATTCCACCTGCCTTAAATCAGCACAGGGCCAGGTAAGAGACAACCAGGAACAGCCCTGATGCCCTGAGTCCTGCCAAAACTATTCCAATTACCTAACTCTAAACTACTCAGACGTGCCTTGCCTTTCACGTGGAAATTTCAGTAAAAGCTCTGGTCTAGGCTTTACCCTGGCTCCTTCTGCCTCCTGACCAAAATCTGGTGCTTCCTCATGTGGCCCTGCATAGCAAGGCACATTTTCATCTCTTAATAAAAATCTTTCAAGAAGATTTTTGGCACTGGCCTCTCCATATCATCAGTCACTTTCATAAATTAAAATCCCATGGGTACGAAATGAGACAAGTAGTTAAATGTATTTTAAAGAATCTAGGAGAAAAAAATGGTCTTTAAAACTTAATTACATATTTTTGATTTTAGGCATCACATTATGTCTCTGGCCTTTACCATTTCTTAAAATGCAGGTCTATTTGCTAATAAATCCTTAGTTTCTATTTACCTGAAAATGTCTCATTTTGATTTTCATTGTTGAAATTTTCTTTAGATACAGAATTCTAGTTTGACAGTTTTCTTTCTTTTAGTACTTTAAAGACGTCATTCAATGCTCTGCCCTCCATTATTTCCAATAATGCCATTGTAATTTGTATTCCTGTTCCGCTGTAAATAAATAAGGTGCCATTTTCCTTGGCTATTTTCAAGATTTTCTCTTTATCTCTGTTTCAATAGTCTGATGTGCCTAGATGCAGTCTTATTAGTATTTTTCCTGCTTGAGGTTTGCTGAGCTTCTCTACTTTATAAATTTGTTTTATCAACAAATATGAGAAATTTTTGGCCATGATTTCTTCAAATATATTTTCTGCCCTTCCCTTTTCTTTTAAAAGAGAGCTTTTGATACTTGATACAGGTTGCTTTTCCCCTCTGTTTTTCATATTGGTTCTTTTTTAAATGAACTATCTTTAAGTTTCACTGAGCCTTCTATCATTTTAATCTGTTAGCCCATCCAGTGAATTTTTTAGATATTACACTTTTGATTTGTAGAATTTATATTTAGTTCTTTGTGAGAGTTTTTCTCTACTGAATATTTCATTTTGTTCATTATAAGCATATTTTCCAAATATCCTTGAGCAGTTATAATATCTGCTTTAAAATCCTTATCTGCAAAGTCCAACATAGGGGTCATCTATCTATAGGTTGATCTCCATTAATTGCCTTTTCTCTTCTGTATGGGTACTATTTTCCTGTTTCTTCAAATGTTCAGCAATTTTGTATTGCATCCTGGTCATTGTGAATGGTATGTGGCAGAGACTCTAATTCCTTTATGTTCTTAAGGATACTGATTTTGTTTTAGCAGGCAGTTAATTTGTCTGGATTTAAAACTATAAGCTGTTTCCTCAGGTGGAGAGCAACAGAAATCTATGTAGACTTTTACCCTTGTAGGCTGCTTGCAGTCTACCCTGTGTATTAATAGTTCAGGGGTCAGCTAGAGACTTGAGCAAAATTTCTGTATAAATGTAGGGGTTCTCCCTCTGTTTCTCCTGTTTCTAACCTCTATCACTACTTTCCAACTGCTGTGGTTGCCCAGAATTGTTATCTTTGGTTCTCAAGTCATTAAGACTGTAGGTTTTCCACTAGAATTTTAGCTGCCCTGCTTAAAGCTATCTGTTACATGCATTCAAAGAGCTGTAAAACTTACCCAGTGCAATTCCTTTCTTCCTTTGGTTTCAGCCTGATTTTTTATTGCTCTCATTATCTTTAGTTTTTTTGTTGTTGTTCAGGGTTTATAGCTGTTATATTTTAAAAATATTTAAAGATGTGCTCAATAGGACCTAATCTTCTAGTATCAGAAATGGATCCTCTCTATAGGATCCTCTGGACTTCATTTTTTAATCTTACCCTGGTCATCTTTCCACATCATTCAGATCTCATTCTATAGAAAACTGCATTGCATGAATGTGTCATAATTTACTTCACTATGATTTTGACTCTTTCCTGTTTTTAATTAATACTGTACAAACAATGCAGTTATGGAAATGATTTTTACATTTATCTATTGTACTTATGCAAGTATATTTTTGATTGCAACTGAAAATATATTTGATTCCTTCTTGTTATATATTTTATAAAACAGAGAAGAAATACAAAGTAAGACACCATTCCAGGGTGTCTTTTGGGGGCAGTGATATGAAGAATTATTCAAGTTTAAGGGATACAGTTGTCTCCTCTTATCTGCACAGGATACATTTCAAGACACCCAGTGGATGCCTGAAACTGAAGATAGTACTGAACTCTATATATGCTATTTTTTTCCCTATACGCACATACTTTTTCACTTAAAGGAAGCACTTTATGGCTTCAGGGCCATTACTAAGTAATATAAGAGTAACTTGAACATGAGCACTGCAATATCTTGACAGTCAATCTGATAAATGAAAAGCCTACTAAGTGGCTAATGGGCCGGAATGTATACAGCATGGATACGCTGGAGAAAGGGATGATTCATGTCCTGGGCAGGATGGTGAAAGATTTCACCATGATACTCGGGATGGTGTGCAATTTAACTTATGAATTGCTTATTTACCATAGTCTGAAAATATTCAATGGAAAATTCCTCTGGGAATAAAATTCAAGTTATTTGACTCATAAAATCTAGCCCTAGGACATACTACTAATTAAACCACTAACTTAAGAGATCTTGTTCAGATGGCTAATTGTCATCCTTCTCTAACAACTGTACACATAAAAGAATTTAAGTGTAAAAGGTGGTGTTTTGTTTTTGGTTTGTCTTTTCATTGCACTAGGCAATTTACAAAAAAAATTTTATAATAAACCATTTTAAATCTAAAATTTACATTTTAGATATTTTTCTCACTTACCTTTTTCTTTGTCCACTCTAATGACGACCACACATTCATTTCTGCCAATTCGGATGAGTTTGTTTATAGAACGAATACGCCTTCTGGACAACTCACTAAGAAGAATCATGCCTTCGATATTGTTGTATTCCAACAGGCTGACATAAGCCCCCATTTCAGCAATGGCCCGTACATTCACCATCACTACATCTTCCACCTCAGGAAATTTGTGTTGATAAAATCTACAACTTAGACCTGGCATTCTGCAATTTAAACAAAAGAGTCAAGTCAGTCCTCGGTTAAGGTCAAAATAAAAACATGTCAGTCAACTTTCCACATCTTGCCACTGGAAGAAGTTGTCAGTCTCTTCACTTCTTTAAACTTCTCAAATCAGAAAACAGGTAATGTTGAGGAACCGAGCTTTAATTTTTATTTTGCTCCACATTTTTGTAAGGCATGAGTGAGTCTCTGCCATCAGTTTCAGAGGAATCATAAAAAATAATGACCATCTATAAAGTACTTTGAGACCTAAGAATTAAAGGTACAACTCAAGAGTAAAATACTATTTTAATACCACCAGTTCAAGAAATAACAAGTGATGGGAAGCATGACTACTGTTACAAACCTATCAGCAAATTCTAAAGCTATTCTTTCTGCAGATTAGCTAGGACTGTATATGCTACCACCCATCACATAAAGGTAAGAATCTTCTAATTACTTAAACCCTAACCATATATCAAAAGATATAATAGCCAAAATTACAGTAGCATATGACAGGACAAAAACTAAGTTTATTAATCACAAAAGATATTACATTTAACTAAAATGTATTCTTCCGATTTTTTCCCCCAAACTTGCATTTAATTCACAATTACCATAATTTCTGGCTTTTATTTTTGCCATTACTCCCAAACACTCTTCTCTTTTGTTGAATAGATATACCCAATTTTGAGAATAGCTTTATAGATCTACATTACTATAAAGTTCAAATTTCTCTTAACCTCCAAGCATTAAATATATTTAAAACTACTCCCTTTGATCCACCCAACCTATTTTCAGCACCATTCCTTTTATGACTGACAAGCCGGAAATCCTACCATGAGTAAAAAAATATTTTTTAAGGGAAGCTCTCAAGCTAATCATACCTGATGATTTTCATGTTTTTCTGCTAACCTTACCCAGTTTACTATTGTCAAAGCTCAGAAGACAGGCAGTAATAGGACCTAAAGGCCTATGAAAAATTTGTGGAAAATTCATTAACTTTTTTCTTATTAATTGGTGAATACTGATAGAACATCCACATCCAGCTCATAGAGCCTCCAAGTTCTGCTGCAGTGCAGTCTGAGAACTGCTAACTGCATCCACATGTATCTTCCCCAGTGGCTTTCCATTGATTATACATCTTTCTACTACCTACAGGGTCCTATATGATCTGGCCACTGCCTATCTCCCTGAGGTGCCACTTTCACCCTAGTTCTCCCTACCTTACAGATGAAGAAACCGAAGCATAGCATAGGTTAGGCAGCTTGTTCTGTCATCTACTGCTAACAAGTGATGTGTCAGAATTTGAACTCGTGAAGTTTGGAACGACAGTCCGTGCTTATTCATCAGGCTACATTTTTCTCTCAATATTATTGATAAGCGTATTACTATTAGAAACATCTTACACAAAACGCAATGTTAATATACATATTCACTGCTGGAGCATATAATACAGATTAGTGAAAACTTTCAGTACTAATCTACCCTGTTTAACAACAAAAAAGCAGCATATTAACAATAGTGGCAGAGATGCATTTCTCTTGTAGCTTGACAAAACAGGGATTTAGTAAATAAAGGGAAGTAGACAGTCAATGACCAGAATTACCTACCAAGAAACAGCTGAGCTGGTTGTTTCATTTTTAAACAGGGCCTTTTTTTTAAACTCTTGTCAAATATCTGTATGTAGAGTACTAAAATTTGAGAGCTAAAAAAGTTTCAAACTGGGTATCAAAAAATGCCATGAAAATATGTGAAAAAGTTTTAAGAGCTTTAACATGTGCTAACCACATCTGCTTATCAGGTTTCCTCAAGTTGTAAAGCAGATAATTTTTGGGAAGCAAGGCTTAATTTGATGGTTAAAGAAAATAGGCAATAGTGTAAAAACAATACTGATGGAAGCTATAAATGCTACACCTTTAGGAGTTATAAGTCTCAGCAATAAATAGGGCAATAAAGGAATACTGCTGATGGTATGTTACTCACAGTAAAGATAGAAAGTGGCCAATAAGTACGAAAAGAATCCATTTCACAAAGAATCTGAATATTGATAGATTTTGAACATCTCCTTATTTATGCTAATAATTATACTAACTTAAAAAAATCAGGAAAACAAGCCACAAGCTAGTATCCATCAGCCCTCTATATAATTTTCAAAGCACTTTGACTTATTTGCCCCTCAATAAGTCTTCGTCAGGCAAGCAGCATAGTGAACTTTGGGAATAGCTATAGATGTGGATGCTCTATCACCTATTAGCTGTGGTTGCTTTGGAAATGTGTTCCCACTGAACTATAGATTCTAGTCTGTGCTATGTACCTCACAGATTTGTGGAATCAAATGAGATAAAATACATGTAAAAACATTTTGAAAGTGTAATGTGCTATACAAATATAAGATATTAAAAGTCAAAGGAAGTATTATTTCCATTTTGTAACTTAATTTGTTACTTTTGCAGTACCTACTATGTACTAAGCACTACTGACACAACAATTAAGACTTAAGAATTTAGGTAAAGAGTGAAAAACAAACTAATTCGTAAATAACTGCAATGTACGTTATTAAAAACGAGCACAGTGAAACAATCAATTAACGAGGAACCAAGGTACAGAATTAAGTGACTTCCTTAAGGACAAATGCTTAATAATTACTAGAATAGGAGCTCAACCCTAGTCTTTTGACAGTAAATCAGAGTATCTTTAACCCACACAGCCTCAGTATGTCAGAGTACTACAATACAGTATGTATTTTTTAGTAAAGAACAACCATCTTTCAGAATATATTAACTGAATTCCATGCTAATTTCAAGTACTCTGCACTGTCAGTAATTTTGCCTGGTCAAATGGTGGGTAGGCCTTCTTTTGTAAACCAGTGTATGGTCAAGTCATCATAATGAATAAAGGAAGCACAATGCTTTCCAAAGTAGTGTACAATGTGATAGAAGCAACTCTTGTGATAATTCTAATTAGGCTCTAACACTTATGCTCTTTGCATGATAGTTTTTAGCACAGAAGTGCTACACAAAGTTTTTAAACTATTTCACTGTAGTTGAAATAGGAAGCACCAATATCTACAAACATTACCGTGTGTCTTTTCTAAATCATTTGGCATCAAAGGAACTGAGAATTGGCAGTAAAGCTCTACTCATATAAGTAATTCCCAAGCTGTTGAAAGACACAGAGTTACAACTTTTTTTCCTTGAACAACTTCAATCGGGAGAAAAACCAAGACTTCTCTGCTACACTTTTTCTACAAGAAACAATGTTTCTTGCTTTTTGAAAATTAAAGTAGCTTAAGTTTGGGGGATAATAAAAGGGACCTCAGGCCGAATATATATTTAACCCTAAAATTCCTTTATCTCATGTTTTTAGTTTTGCATAACTGTAAGACCACGGCATGTAAGTCTACAATTATGTTCTCATCAGTGCTGAAATACAGCAAACCGATATGAAACGTAAGAAACTCAATAGCATGTTTTAGTTTCAAGGAGTGACTCGTTCCACAGAAATGCACAACTCGAGCAATAAGGCAATATGAGCTTCAATTTTTAAAAATAAATTATCAGATGAATAAACTACTCGTGAATCCTTTATAACCCAGCTCTTGACAACACTGTGACCCATCCCACTGGTCCCTGGAAGTATCTGGTCTAGTTTCCACCGAGAGGGAATATTTTCTGGAGTAGAAATAAAAAAAAGGAATAGACTTCTCAGGCCCGGAAAGAGCAAAGTGCTGTGTCCTGAGGTGTGGGTGTCACTGGGATCTCCCGAGGCCACCTCACCTCAAGGCACCCTCGGTTTAAGCATACTGAAGAGGCCATACAGTCACTTGGCCCGTTTTTCTTCACCGGGTTCCTCCGCTCGTACAAAGATACCTACGACAAGGGAAGACCGACAAGGAAGACCGACAAGGAGCTGGCGGGTGGTAGCGGTGGTGTCCAAACATTTTTCACGCAGGGGCCTACTCTCTCTCGACCGCCCTTGTCACTGGACACAACCAAAGTCAGTCCTTTGAGGAACCAATCTAGGGAACTAGTCACCTGAGGTATGTGTGTGGATCCCGCAGTGGGGCCCCTCGTCGCCCTCTTTAATCGAAGAGATCGGACTTGATACACCCGCAACAGCCGCCGAGCCTCTTCAGCGTGCGCTTCGCTCAACCCCACTGCGCATGCGGAACCAGCTCGCACCACGCAAGCGCCGACAGAACAGAGGCCCTCTTCGTCACTGACCATAGAGTCCAGGTCCTCCAAGAACAAGGAAGAATGTGGATTACAGGAGAACCTGAAAAGTACGTTTTTCTCGCTAGCTTTAGTTTTCGGTAGATAATCTTCAAGGCGTAGGGAAGTGGTAGGACTCTGATTCCTTGTTCCTGAAGAATAAATGCTCGCGCAAAGTTTCGGTCAACCATGAGGTGGCGCTGTGACGAACGACAACCAGTGGAGGAAGAGAGCATGTGTTCTTTCCTGGTTTTGCGCCCCCGCGCTTTCAGAGACTTGCGCAGCCGCGTGGGAGCTGGAGTGGGAGGGGTTAGGAAGCGAGCCGGAATTGAGGAGCCGTTTCATGGTGCGCGCGCCTGAACATCCGGGCATCGCCTTCTTCAAGTCCTTCTCCTCCTCCCACGTTTACCCCGCCCCCCTCTCCACCCCACGTACCAGCAGGAAGCGGAACTGAAGAGTGCTTGTCCTCTTAGCAACGCGAGGAGGGGTCAAGTGACACCACCAGCTGACTGCCGTAGAGGAAGGCACGGTGGCTGGGTCTGTTGTAACCACGATTGCCCGGCCGGGGACCCGAGCCGAACAGTCATCGTCAGAATGTCGGGCAAAGACCGAATTGAAATCTTTCCCTCGCGAATGTAAGTAAGAGAATGCGCTTGGCTGGAGCCTTGGGCCAGCAGCGAAGTTCCTGGTTTTCTAGACGTTTCCTGAGCCTCCCAGTCTCTTTTCGTGAATCCAGAGCGAGGCTCCCTGGCTCCCTCACACATTCCTCTTCGTGAACCAGACTAACATGAGCGATCTTAGCCCATAGAAACAGGCACCCGCCTGCTAGCTTTTGTGGAGGTCCAGTCCACACTCCCGTGTTGAACGGGGAACTGGATTCATATAACTATAAATCGTCGCCACTCCTGCCCTAACAGCCCAGTTTAGCGAAGAGATGGACAAGCTAACGAGGTTTGAGAAAAGGATTGAGAAGGGAAGTTGACTGCAGTGGGAAGCATATAGAAGAGACTTCAAATACACACTCGGGGTTGAATCGAAAAGCTCTAGCGTGGACGTCAGATTCAGTTTTGGATCCCCTTACTCATTTTCCAAGACCCCATGAAATGTCACCTGCAGTGGGAAGATACCCCTGAGTTTCTCACACGCTCCTTTTTGCTCTATCGCCGTTGCACCTTGTTCAGATCTCTGTTCATGTCACCCATCACATTGTAAAGTGGCTAGTATTTGTTTACATATCTTTCCCACTGACTGTAATCTCTCTTCACGATGAGAGTGTCTTAATTATTAATCCACAGACAGTCCATAAAAGAATGTTCCTTGAATGAACCCTTGCTTTGGAATCTGCTCAGCTGTGGGCTGCCTTTCTCTTTTGGCCTGAATTCTTTGGCAGGAGAAATAGCATATCGTCCTAGGTGTTTGGCTAGTCTGTAAAGAAAATTTTGAGGTTTTCTGAAATGTACCTAACAATGTGTGGAAAGTAAAGATTATTCTTATTTGCCCTCTCCCCCCACCTCTCCTTTTCCTCTTCTTTTTTTTTTCAATGAGGAGCAGAAAATCAGTTTTGGCTCTGACATTTAGATCTTTTGATTGTGGTCCAGCCTCTTTGGGAGTATTCTGTTGTTTTTCTCCATCCTGACCTTTTTCTCAGAATCCAAGGACTCTTAAAATAAAAGAGTTATATTCAAACCCCAAACCTAGATTTCTGCTTCTGCCTGCGTGGCTACAGCTCTTCATGAAATGAAGTTTTTTTGTTTGTTTGTTTTTTGTTTTTTGGCTTTTTGTTTATTTTTTTACTTTCACCTACTGACTTTCTAATAGCTGTATGTATTAGGTAGGAATCAAGTCAGTTGTGGAGAAAGACAGTGCCTGCGAAATAGATAAGGACTGATCCTTGGGGTAGTGAGAACTGCAGAATTTCCAGCATTCAGTGACTGACACGTTCCAAACCTCTGCACTGGGAGGCAGTGAAACTCTATAACATAGCTTCTAGCGTCTTAAGGCTGTGTTTCTAGGATGACCCCAGCCCCCATTAAAATGTCTAAGAAAGCTCAGGGCTGCCAGGAGAATTTACTGTTGTAGGTAACACCTGACGCCTGCCCTCCCTTTCATAGGGCATTCACTGAAAACGGCCTACAATGATGAATTCTTCATTTTTTCTTTGTATATGTATATGGCTCTCCTATAACTTAGAAATATCTTTCTCTAGGACTTAAAAAGCATTTCTTTGAAATGTAATCATCAGGAAAGGTAGGGCCTTTTTATTTCCCAGTCTCTGTGGGCTAACTTCCATACTGGCCAGCTGGCAGACACAACTGGCTTAATTGTATTTCCACTGACCAACCCTTTGTAATTTTTCACTTCTCTGACTCTCCCTGAGAATCCTCTTACTCCTCTCCCTCATTCTTCCTTTAAAATGCCCAATCACCTCTGCACAAATCGAATGGAGCTCAGCTCTTTCCCCTACTGCCAGTGGTTACTGCATAAAATCTGTTTTCACTGCTTTAACTGTTTGGCTGTGTTTATCTTATAGTAGAATGTTAACATTTTTTTTGTTTTTACTTTAAGACTAAGAGGTGAAAATAAACTTCTTCAGCCTTAGATAAGAAAAATGATAAGTTGTGAAGGTAGAAATTGCTATTTGAGAGCACTCAGCTTGCTGTTTGAAAGGAGTATCAGGTACAGGAAGTAACTGCTTCTCTAAATGTTTTCCCCAAGCCTTAGTCTAATAGCAGGTACTTTGTCATGTAGTCAGATGTCTTTGATTCAGCTGGAAACAAAGCCGTCATCTTAGCTGAAGGTCACTTTTCAGTAGGGCCAAGCAGCTCTGAAACTTGTAAAAGAACAGATAGTTTAAGAGTTAAGCTAAAAAATACACTCGTGACTTTTGTTTCCGACAGTTCTAGCTTATAGTGTTATCCTGTGAAATGGTGGGGTGGATACCCATCTAGGTACCAGAAAGAGCAAAACAAGTTTAGGGTGGAAGCAAAAGAGGCATGAAGGATTTTAAGTCAACAAAAGTCAGTCAAATCCAGGATATACTTTCAAGGGCTATGAACCCTTGGGCAAGTCACTCTTCAAGTCTCAAGAATGAAAATTTGTCTGTTTCACAGAGGTGCTATTACCTAGGAAGAAATTAAAATTAGCATGGTAAATCTAGTTTTATAAACCAATTCTCCTTTTTACTAATCTGTAGTACTAGGATTTGACTTAAATTTGATCCAACTCTGAGCTCAGATTCTGGTGGTGTCAACAATACAGTATGTTTAAATGTACACATTGGGTGGCTAGCTCCTGCTTAGGCCGGAAACTGAACCAGCTTTATTCCCATGAGTCCTGTCAGTGCGAACTCAGCCACTGATAGTTAGAGTGAGAACTGTTTATCTGATGCTATTCATAATCTATAGGGGAGGCAGTTGGCTTGTGGTTGGCATTTCTGATGGGAAAAGATTGAAATAAGGAGATAAGGAGACTTTAGCTGCTTGTCACTCCTTAGGAGTCTTAACTTCTATGTCATTTGTAAGTTATCTAAAGTCATTTGTTACCAAATTGTTACATTCATTTGTTATATAGTCATTTACTAATTAATAAAATGATTGATAGAAGGGTCTTGATATCAAAAATATTAAAATGCTACACTTTTTAAAATAACATTTATGTAAGCCATGAAGAGTATTATTAAAGTTATCTTATACGTGTTCAGCAATCATAAACAGTTCAACTATATAGAAAAAGCCAAAGTATAATTATTATGCTAATACCATTAGCAGACAGATAAAGACAGACAAAATGAATTCTGAGTTAATATCAGTGCTTAGGTATACAGGCCTTGTCGCTGTCTTGGGATGATAGCTGTGGTGTTGGCAGCTTCTTGTCCTTGAGGAGTTTTTTGATTTCTGTAGACAGGAGTAAATGTCCATTCACAGTTAGGCGCCTCTTAAGGTCCCTTCCCATGAGGTTGGGGAGAGTCTTATTTGATGTGCTTTCCAATAAACAAAATCTCCAAGTGTTTAATACCACACTTTTATAGAAAAGATAATAAATGGTTGTGGAATAAAATGCAGAAGGTACAAAAGAATGTAGTAGTAAAAAGTAAATCTATTTTTTTCAGTCAGCCTCATTTCTCACAGGACTTACCACTTTCTATGAATTCTTTCTAGAAGAATTCTCTGTCTCGATGTAAGTAAGCACATTTATCCCTTACTTGGCATAGCTAAGACAGTACAATATAGAGAACACATGTACATCTACCCTCTTCTTTTTTTCTGGCTGCATATCATTTCATTGTATAATGAACCATGATTTGTGGAACATTTAACTTGTTTCCACCCTTTTTTATTACAAATAAGGCGGGAGTACACATCCTTCACCTTGTACATGTTTTTGCATACATGCGAGAGTAAATCTATAGGATAAATATCTCAATGTGAAATTGTTAGTCTTGAAGGTAAGTGCATTTCAGATTTTGATGTATATTAGTGGGCAGATTTTTCTTAAAACCTTACTACGCCTCTAATGGAAACATAGATATTGTTTTAACTTACAGATCAAATAAGAATTTAAACTATGCTGGCATCATAAAGTAGTGCTACTTATAAATTTTATTATGATTTAATAAATATTTATTCCAGATTCTGATTAAAAAATTATTTCTGATTTAAATAAATAAACTTCTCGTTTATGGAACACTGAGGGTAGAAGTCCACGGTATTGAGAAACCAGTTAGACTTGTCAGGTACAAAGGCTATATGTTACTCTCATGACATTGAAAAATAAAGCGTAATTTTAACATTGTATTGGAGAGATATTTTTCTTTTAAACAATGAGAATAAATGTCTTTAACTTTGTTTATATAGGGCACAGACCATCATGAAGGCTCGATTAAAAGGAGCACAGACAGGTCGAAACCTCTTGAAGAAAAAATCTGATGCCTTAACGCTTCGATTTCGGCAGATCCTAAAGAAGATCATAGAGGTAGAATGAACTTTGCTTAGAACAGTATTTATTTTAGAAACCTCTAAGGATAATCTAGCATGGCTGTTGACATTTTAATTTTTCTTTATTTTAATTAATTCTTTCTTTCAAAAGTAAAAATACCATTATAAAGTAATGCATTTCACATAGTTCATTTAATAAAATCCAGACTCCTTACTCTTGCCCGCTGGCCCCATGCGATCTAATGTGGCCCCTGCCTGCCGCTCTGACCTCATTTGGCTCGTTCTTCCTAACATCCTCCTCCAGGGCCTTTGCATTCGCTGTTCCTTCTGCCCCAAATGCTCTTTCCCCCAAAACTTCTCATGAATTGGCTCCTCTGCCATTCTGGTCTCTTTAGAGGCCATCCCTGATCTCCCAGTGTGAAGTGCCCACCATGTTTACTGCTGTCACATTTTATTGTTTATCATAGCATGTACTATTGCATGATAGTTTCTTGTTTGCTTACTCCCCCTAGAGAATATAAGTTCCGTGAGAGGGAGAACTTTGTCTTCTCAGCACTGTATTTCCTGTGCCTAGGACAGTGCTGGCACATAGTACATTTTAATTCAATGGTTTTTGGATAAATGATGTGTGAATACAGAAGTATATGAAAAAAAGTGAAGGTTCTTTCCCACATCCCCCTTCCCCCAGCCCCAACTGTCCTCTCATTTCTCAAAGGAGTTCTCTGTGACACTTTTGTTTATAGCCTTTCAGTCTTCTCTTTTCTCTTTTCTTTTCTTTGCTTTTGTTTTGTTTTGTTTTCTTTTCCTCCTTCTCTTTCTCTTTCTCTTTTACTTTCTCTTCTCTTTTTCCTTTCTTGTAGCATATACTGAAAGTATTGCTTTTGTAAAGCATGTAGCAAGAGTATCATGTAGCTATATGTGTCCACACACAGCTGTTTTTAATAATAGACTTACAA